TTTTTTATTTTGATCTTTTCTTCAGATTCTCCTAACAGAAGCCACAAGTCACCGACAGAACATTGAGAAAATGGCTGAAGAACAGAAGAATAAGTACTTGGGCCTTTATACGATACTGCCTTCTGAACTCTCCCTTCAGTTAGCTGAAGTGGCATTGGACCTAAAGATCCGTGATCAGGTAAACCCATGATCAAGACAGAGTATCTTTCTGTTCTTTTGCAGGGTTGATCCTTTTGTATGAGAATGTTTGACTTTCACAATCACGTCTTCTTGGAAACAGAGTTAAAGAAGAGATCGCTATGAAACAGGAATATTAAATTAGAGGTCTTATTTGCGGGCAAGAAACACATGAGATGATCATAGATATGAACAGTAATGCCATGTAATTAAAGACAATTTATCTGCTTTCCTCACCTTTACAAAATGACTTAAAGAAACAAACAAAAAAAGTTACATTACATGTGTTCAACAAATACTGATTGAGTGCACAGAATCTGCCAGGCATTCTTCTAGCCGTTACGTCATTTCAGCAGTTCAGCAAGATATAAGTTAAGTAGGTGACGATATTTGAGGAAAGGGAAAATCAAAGTAAGAAATGGAAATATAATAGGTTTTTAGGACTTTCTTGGTGGCTTAATTCTAAAGCCATTAAAGTTTAGTTAAAACCACTCTATATGGGACAAAGAACAGATATACTAATTCTAAACTGCTACGTGAAATGGAAAGTAGTATCACATGGTATGAACTATAAAATTCATATGAGTGCACCATACTTTTTGGGATCTCCAATGTATGTTGAAAAATGTTTCAAAAATCTCATCAAAATCCAATTCTACTGCACCATGATTTTGCCTAAACTAATATATGCTGTTTTCTATTTTAAGTATTTAATTGACCTATTTAGCTTTCCTTCTTAGACATTGGAAGGTCTATTTGGAAGAATGATTTGGCGAGTTCAGATCTTTAAAAAAAGGGGGTTCAATTTTAAGTTTTCTTTTTCTCTGGATAAATTTCCCTATAATAGAGTTTTCATATGCAGTCCATTTACTTTGGCACTCCAAATAATGAAGACCAAAAAGTACTCTTTTAATCGTGTGCCTCCTCCCTACCAAAGAGGATTTTTTTTTTAAGGCCTTTCATTTTTATAAAGAAACATTTCTCTTCTATACCGTCTTCTCTGCAGCATTTTATTCTAAGCAACAGTATGAATGTTTAGTGTCAAAGCAAACCAAAGCCATTAGGATTTGTAAATGTTAAATCATCTTTTTGCATCTTCCTTTCCTGGCTGTGCTTAATGCTTTGTTGGCATGCTACAGGGAGGCAGTTGGAAAGATATGAAAAGAGTTAACAGATCATTAACAGCGCCTTATTAGAAGGTTCTTGGAAACAAATCCATGTGTCTCCAACTATTTGGGAGGGTTTCCATTTTATGAAGAAAAGCCTTAGAGGAGTTTGTATGCTCAAAGTCACAAAGTTAGTAAGTGAAGAGGATGGGATTCAAACTCAGGTGCCTATGTGGCCATCTATGATAAGTATTCTGTAAATATTTGATAAGTGAATTGCTGTACATGCATTGCTTGTTCCTTTGCTGAAACGGCAGCAGGAAGAGTGCAGTGAACGTATGAAGACGGTGGGAAGTCAGGCATCGTAGAAAGCCAGGAAGGCTGGTAACTAACTGCACGTGGCTGGTTGGACCAAGCACATTAAAGCCAAAGCAGCCTTAACAGCCTAAATGTATCTCATCAACATCATTTGAGATTTTTGTATTATTATCCAATTTTAACCATGGTTGGCTTTGTTTTTCTCATTGATTATTTAGATCCAAGACAAAATAAAAGAAGTTGAGCAAAGCAAGGCCATGAGCCAGGAATTCAGCCAGCAAATTCAGAAGATAGCCAAAGATATCACAACTATTCTAACCAAGCTGAAAACAAAGACAGATAATTTAGCTCAAGCTAAAACTGACCAAAAGGTAAGGATGGATAAGTGGAAATACAAGAGGTGCTACTGAATAAGTTAAATATTTTTTTTTGGAGTCAATATTATTTGGGGATGTAGAAAAAAAGGATCTTTAGTAGCACCCTTTATTGAAACCACATAGTAAAAGCAGGTAGTAAAGAAATTTTGTAACTATAATAGCATAGACCCACGTATATTTATAATTGAACTGTATTATTATAATAAATATATATGATGTATGTATAAGAGAGAAGAATGTCAAAAAACTAAACAATGATTTAGGAATACAGATCTGTAAACTCCAAAGTAAATTAAGTTCTTGGTGGTTAAACCTGTCTTCTCATTTTGTTGATGAGTTAAACGAGTTTAATCCTTTTTGGGTGGGGCAGAAGGAAAATGTTAGCCCTCTCACTCAGCCTCATAGGAAGTAAACACCAGGATTACAACACATCCTGCTCTGCCTTCCCAACCGAAGAAATATAAGTGACCTGATCATAGTAGAATTATTCTTTATAATATTTGGCTCTGACAAAAATCAGTCTGATCTCGGAAAACCTAGAGAAATTTATTTTCTGTAGTCTAATGTTCTTTCATTTTGATGACCATGTAGGTGCTGGGAGAGGAACTGGATGGCTGTAATTCAAAGTTAATGGAATTACATTCAGCGGTACAAAAATTCTCAGAACAGAATGGCCAGCTGGGTAAGCCACTGGCCAAGAAGATAGGAAAACTGACTGAACTTCACCAGCAGACCATTAGACAGGCGGAGAATCGGCTCTGCAAGCTCAGTCAGGTATGTTTTCCAGGCCAGTAATCAAAATTCTCTAAGGCAGAAACTACAATGCTCTGCTTTTCTCTCTTGAAAATAAATAAAAAGATAATATTGACAGCAATGTGAGTAGCTTACGTGTAGCTTATTTCCTACCACATCTGTGTTCCTAAGATTTATATGTAAACCTGAGTTTATTTCATATCCAACCATATTATAAATTCACTGACAATGGCAACCATATAAATAGACTTTGGGGTGAATATTTTGTAAACTGGAGAAGTATTTTGTAAAGTGAATATTCATCCATGAACATGTTTTATAAAATTAATTTGGGGTGCATTCAAATATCTTTAAGTAAGCTACATACATATTAGCTTGCATTTACTTAATAGGTTCAGGTCACACATCCCTCATAATTGTTGAGTGTAGACTGGACTTTTGTAAATCAAGTAAGTATTGTTTGTATAATCAGGGACAAGTTAAAACCAGGAGTTGGGGCCAGGCGCGGTGGCTCACGCCTGTAATCCTAGCACTCTGGGAGACCGAGGCGGGTGGATCGCTCAAGGTCAGGAGTTCAAGACCAGCCTGGGCAAGAGCGAGACCCCGTCTCTACTAAAAATAGAAAGAAATTATTTGGACAACTAAAAATCTATATAGAAAAAATTAGCCAGGCATGGTGGTGCATGTCTGTAGTCCCAGCTACTCGAGAGGCTGAGGCAGTAGGATTGCTCGAGCCCAGGAGTTTGAGGTTGCTGTGAGCTAGGTTGACGCCACGGCACTCTACTCCAGGCAACAGAGTGAGACTCTGTCTCAAAAAAAAACAAACAAAAAAAAAAACCAGGAGTTGGTAACCAAGGAATTATGGTACTAAAACTTGGCATGCTCCAATTCCCCCCGCCACCTCCTTACCCAGTGGAGTGTGGAAGAACGGGCAGAGGAGAGCTAGACACAGGAACAGGAGATGAGAAAAAGAGGGATTACACAAGCAGATTAAGAACTTGGGCTTTATCCTAAAGTCACTGAGAAAACTTTGACAGATTTTCAACAGGGAAAGGATTTTTTTATAACATCTTTAAGTGGCACAGAAATTATAACAGTCAACCCTGAGGATCGTTGCATCCAAGGAGACAGACAGAAGACTGATTTCTAGCCCAAGAAGCAGAGTTTCCATTTGTTATCTGAATGTTAATGATTTTTCAGGCAGCATCACATTTAGAAGAATACAATGAAATGCTTGAATTAATTTTGAAGTGGATTGAGAAAGCTAAAGTCTTGGTACATGGAAATATTGCGTGGAATTCTGCAAGCCAGCTTCGGGAACAATACATTTTGCATCAGGTAACTTTAGGAAAAGTAGTTTTCAAAGAGTAACAAAGAGCAATTTGGTTTAACTGCTAAACTGACAAAAGATTTAGAAGGCCATGATAAAAAATTATTGTAGGTACCAGATAAAAAGAGTGCTGAGGTAGCCCTAATGTGTTGTCCAGTGTTCTGACAGGAAGTAGCTACCCATGAGATTTCATGAGATGGTATAAATAAATATCCTCTGTGTTACCTAGACCTCCTTTTCTCCAAGTCCCAAAACAGTCAACCCTATAGGACTCCTTTTATTGCATCTTCTTTGAAACAGTTCCATGCAGGAATATGGTAGGAAATTCTTCCCCATGAAGAGTTGTAGTGACGTGTGGAAAGATTATAAGCTCCACACTTGGATCAACAGGAAATCTCTGCCATTTAGGGCTGTGTGGTTGGGAGCGGAATACTTTGCCTCTCTGAACTCTGTCTTCTCATCATTTATATAAAGATGTAAATAACATTCATATTTCAGACTTATCATGAGGATCAAACGGTTTAACGTATGTGAAACATCTACCTGGCAGGTGCAGGCGCTCAGTAGGAGCTCTCACGTCTCCTTCCCTCAGCCTTCTGCCTGCTCTGCCGTCCGGCCTCCCACAGGAGGTGCAGGTCAGCTGGGAAGAAGCCATGAGGCCACATCACATGCAGACTGCATTACTTCATTTCCTCTGAAGTTATGTGACAAAAATGTTCCTTTCCTCTCACTCACATCATCCAGGAAATTCTGTCACCCTTTCATAACTTAGGCTTGAATTAGATGTAGATATTTAACAGGCTAGTTATCTTGCAATGAAATATAGAATGACTTTAATACAAGTTACAGGGATATCCTCAAGTATTCTAGATTTTCTCTCTTATATGATTTATGTATACTTGTAGCTTTTAAATTAATCCTCTTTTCCATTCTAGAGTTTACAGGGTTCTAGATCAAAGCTTCATTGCCCCCTTTTTGGAATACTTTAACAGCTCCTCATTTTTTCCTGAATCCACAATCTTCCTTCTCTGATCAATCTTGCTCACTCCTCTCAAGATATATTTCTTAAACAACTCCAAGCTTTTGCTTTAAGATAGGCTTATATACTAACAAACAAGTAACAATTGACTTGGAAACAATGAAAAAATATCCAACCTCATTAAAAATCTAGAAATACACATTTAAGCAAAAAAGAGACAGAGAGAGAAAACTTTTTTAACTTTTTAACTTTCAAGTTAAAAATGTTTTTTGCAAGTTCATACTTAAAGAAGTGAGAGCTCTCAAACACTGCTGGTAACCTGGTAAAATCTTTTTGAAAATCAATTGGCAAAATATATGGTGGTCGTCAGAGATGTTACTACTCTGATATATTGATTATCTTTTTCGGACTCATTATTAGGTCAGTAATCCAAAATGTGGAAAATATTTTGTGCAGTATTAATAATTGTGGTAAAATTTTAAAGAAAACTTAAATGT